AGAGTAACATCTTTTAAAGAGTAATGATTTTATAAGCTATCCTCATGTCAGAGAGATTGTACTTTTTCCCCTCTCCAAAATTGCACTGTCTACAGTTGGGAAAAAGTTATCTCCTGAAAATTTCCAGGAAGTTTAAGTTAAGTCAGAAAAGTATTAATGTACTATTCATTGGGTGTAGCAAAGCCTGTCATCACAGCATGGAGTGGCAACCAGACCTTGATTTCTGAGGCTGAATTGATTTGTAAAAGTATTGTAGTTCACTGCTACTTGGTGGCAGCTGAGATGTCTCTGTAGAGCCAAAGGTTCATCACTGCTCCATCAAGGAGACTCGTGCCTCTTGCCCCATCCTGTGATCAGAGAGGTGCCTGTGAAGAGGAGATGGTTTTTTGATTGGTGTGTGACTGGCCGTGAGTAAGGGCTGATGCTGTGAGGAAGGAAGAAGTACAGCAATGTCTCTGGGCAGAATTGATAATTCCCTTTAGCTGGATCTGGTTTAAGGGCAAGACATTTCTCAGCTGTGGGATCGAAGGCATGTTAGTGCAAATAAAATGTCAAGCTAAGCCAAATAAGTTTGGTTGATATATCTTGGAAGGCAGATATTTCTGTTCAACTCTTCCTGCAGCTTTGTCCTTGCCAGAACAGGACTAGTCTTCCCTTTGTCACAGTTCAACGTGCCCAAAACTTGGATTTTTTGTAGGCCAGGCAGTGTAATTTTCCTCGGCAGTGATGCTGAGGGGCCAGTTTTACCACCAGTGGTAGCTTTGGGAAGCAAACACAGAATGTGTGAGGATTGTGGCATGTTTTGATGGTGATTGTGCAGGAGGACAGAGTTTCAAGCTGATTTTGTCTGCGGTAAGTCTTTCTTGTGATGGCCTTGATTGTACTGTAAGTTAAGATGGCAATTACCTTTGAAGAATGGTTTCATGACGTGCTTTGTGGAATTGCCAAGACCTTGTGATCCTTGTGTTCAGTGTTACACTTCAGGTAGACTGATGTGGGTTTTTTTTTCTCAGTATTTTGATAATTAAATTAATTGACACTTTTTGTACATAGATTTTTTCTTTTCTTATTTGATTTGCCAAAGGGTAATATCAAAAGAGTCATGAGCTCCTGGCTAAGGTAATAATAAAGCACTCACAATGCTTTAACCATCTGTCTTGTGCTTGGCTCTTTATTTTGTCTGTTGCATATTGGGGTAGGAATTGGAAAAAACAGTGAGTCCTTTAAATAAGAAATGTTGGCTGGGACTTGAATGACCACAGTGTGGAACCCTACCATAAGTATTTGGTGGTGATTTGGTTGTTTGGTTGTTTGGTTTTGTTTGTTTGTTTGTTTTGTGTTTTCTGTGGTATGTTTGTTTGTTTTAATTAATATTTGGGGTTTTTTTTTCTCTTTTAAACAAATGCTTTCATTGTCCAATGGTTATTAACATGTATTCATAAAAAAATGACCTGTTCTAGCCCACACTGAAAATGGCAGACATTATTTGAAATGATATTAGGTTAAAATTTAGTTTCCTGGGACTTTATTCCATTATAGACAAGCACGAAAAATCTCACTGCTGGACTGGGACAGCTGTGCTAACATGAGGTATGCTGTTCTCTAGGTCCTAATTCTTGCTTTAAAAAAACCATTACTTTCTAGACTTGGCTTGTAAGGAATCACAGGTGTGAAGGTCTTTGGATGCTGCTTTGCTTCCCCTGCCTCTCCCCTCCATCCCAAATCTCACTACTGAACTGGGAGAGCAGTGCTAACAACATGAGGTATGCTGTTCTCTAGGTCCTAATTCTTGCTTTAAAAAAACCATTACTTTCTAGACTTGCTTGTAAGGAATCACAGGTTTGAAGGTCTTTGGATGCTGCTTTGTTTCCTCTGCCTCTCCCCTCCATCCCAGTTCTGGTTGGAAATTAATACCTGTTTTTGTGCAGCCTTCTAAATTAAAAGATGCTCTGACACACCTCTTAAACATCTTAAATTTCAAAGGTATTATTGACTGTTAATAGATGTTAAGAAAGATGTGTAAAATAGTGAACAGAATGTGTTTTCTGAGTATGTACATTTTTATGTATTCACTTTTAAGTAAAACAATCAAATTATACAGGAGGAAGTCTGCTTTGGATTTTAAGATTTACTACATTATTCTTCCATGCCTATATTAAAAAAAAAACCAGTGGGGAGTGTATCTTTATGGAATTAGGCACTGGAAAAAAAGATTTTTGATTTCTGTCCTCAGGAATAGGGGAAGCCTGAAATTCTTCTTACCTTTGCAAATAAATCATTAGCAGGTTGGTCTCTGCAGGGTATGTGTTCAGTCTCCTGGAACAGTGACACTACATGTGTTTGATAATGTGTGTTTGTGGTTCCTGCTTTGCTGTGACAGTAGCTGCTCACACTGACTCAGTAGGACTATGCTAGAAGCACTTGTTGCTGTAATAATATGGGTTATAGTCAAAAATACTTTTTAAAAAATTAAATTGATACTTTCAAGAAACCTGTTGTGGAGGTAGTTGCTGAAGAAATGCTTTTGTGTTTTAGCAGGAAAGGTGAATTGCAGTGCTCTAAGCAAAACTAAAGTACTTAGAGTGGAAAAAATAGTGACATTCCTGGGGAGTGTTACTGAAGGCAAAAATGAGAACAAAGTGTGAATGCTGATCTTGAAACAGCTCTTGGATGAAATGTGAGTTGTCATACAGCTCCAGGTGTGAATCTGGTGGGCTGTTAAAGGGCAAATTTTTAACACATTAGAGACAATGCCATGTGGAACTTGGAATTTCATAGGAGGAGAGGAAACCTAATTGACCGGGTTATATTCAAAGAGATGTTTTGCTTAAATATTTTAGAAGAGTTTCAAGGTTGTTTGTCATCTTTTTGCTCAATTTGGGACATACAAATCTGAAATTGAGCGTTTAGTACATGCTTAAGCAGGCGTTCCTTTACAGTGTCAATTGGATTGTTCAGAGAGGCTACAGGGTGGCAGTAACTCCAGCCAAGGAATTGTTACTGTATTTTTAGCACTTTGCAGTTCCTGACCACATTAATGTGTTGTGGTGGTTTTAATCCTGCTGCCACTGATTATAAAAAGCTGAGTGTTAGAGCTACCTGCTTCAAAAGGTGACACAAATGTGGTATTTCATAGAAGGAAAATGTGATGCTGCTACTATTTTATTTTCCCTAAAGGAAAAAGACCTGGTCCAGTGTTCTGAAGTTGCTGCTGACAGCTTTAGGAGCATGTCTTCATTGTCCAGATAATTTCTGTAGGCATTAACCACATTATGCACTTCCCATTCATATTTAACATTTTAAAAAGATTGAAGTACCACTCCAGTTTTTTACCATTGAAGATAAATTGTCCTAATTTGTGTATTACATCAATCCTCATGCTGCTCATCAACTTCTAAGCGTTTGATTTAGATTTACTTAGATTTATTGTTGTTATCTAATCCAGATTTGTTGAGACTCATTTAAGCAAGGGACAGGAGGGGGAATTCTTGAACTGCAGTTTTGCGTGCAGCCTGCAAGAAGACTCTTTCATTGAGGGTAGACTAAAAAAAATTGGTATATTCTTGAGAGAGAGAAGTAAAACTCCAAATTCAGGTGCATAGAGGTTGTATCCTAATGCCCTTCTACCTTTTCTGTCATTCATTTCCCCATTTGGGTTATTCAACTATTTGCCTTTACCTACGATAACCCAAATAAACCCAATTGACCTTCCTAAGAGGAGACATTAAGTCTTTTTGGAAAATGTATTTGCATATATGGGTAATCACAGATGAGAGATGATTGGCATGGTGTCTCCTCTGGGACGTACATCAGCTTGCAGTCCCTTCGCTGTGTTTCTGTCCCCTGAAAAGCAGTGAAAAAAGCCATTGACAGTTTGTAGATTCAAAGCTTTGAAATTAGGTTTATGTAGGAAAAGAGGAAGCATTTTATAGGAACTCTCTTTCAAAATGCTGTGGCTTTTCAAGTAACTTGTTAATATCTTACTAGCAGAATTATTCCCTTGACTCTCTTATATTGAGCAATACAAATGCTTGAAGAACAGATGAACAGTTCTTTGGTAGTGATAATACTCAGTAGAATGTATTTTAAAAGGTGTTTTATAAACTAATAACCTTATAGTGCTGGTTTGGGTGTTCCGTTCAGAATTTCGGCTATTTCTTGCATTAATTGATTTAAAAGAAATGATATATTTCTCAAGAGCTGCCTGACTAAAGCTTCCTCCTACTTAAAAAGCAAACCCAATTATTTCTGCCAAACCGCTTTTCCTGCACGGGACACACACCCTGACCTTCATACAGCAGGTTGGAGGGTTGCTGAGAGACACTCTGGTTCTGCCTGGGCTATCAGCACAGCTCTGTAAACAGGATTATTCCCTGCCATTTCTCTTTGTTACTTTGAGGCTATAATATTTATACATGTCCTTTTTTTTCAGCACTGAAGAGTGGTAAATGGAAACTGTATGACATTTAAAAAAAAAATACAACCCAGAATGTTATTCATTTGTCAGCCAAAACCAACGTATTTTTGTTAGTGGTCCCAGTTTTGTTTTTAGAGGGTTGGAGAGATGAAGCAGGAGTCTCCTGGGGCAGCTGCAGGGTGTTAGCCCCCTGTCTGAGCTCCTGGAAGTGGCGCTCAACGCCGCTTGTTTGTCAGTGAACCGGAGGAGGATCTGGTTCACACGGGTACGTGGAGAGGCAGCATCCTGCCCAGGCTGCCAACACTCAGCAGTGACAGGAAACGGCCTCTGCACCAGCTCTGAAGGACAAGGGAGCCTGTTTGAAAGCTGGGTGCAAAGCAGTCTCGCTGAGGAATGGTCTCAGCACATCTGGGAAGCAGGTTTGTGTTTCGTAACGTCCTTGCCAAACTGGTAGGAGCTGGGTGTGTCTAGAACTAACTTTGTCTCTTGAGAAACCAAGCTTTTATTTTGCAAGTGATGTGCTTTACTTTTAAAAGACTTCAATCTGTTTGGTTGCTCAGTGTTTGGTTTTATTTTTTTTTAGGAGGTCCAAACATATGGGCCATCACCTCTGAAGAGCGGGCCAAGCATGACAAGCAGTTTGACAGCCTTAAACCCACTGGAGGCTACATTACAGGTTGGTCTGAGATTGTGCATTGCACATTAACCTCTGTGTACACACTTCTGGGCACACACACCTATCTTTGTAAAAGAGTCTGAAAACTACATCCTATTTCTAGCCCTTTGTTGTGTGACTCATAACCATCCTCTTTGGGCAGACAGCCACAGGTCATTACTAAACTTCTGCAAGCTTTTGGGTAAAGTCTGGCACAGGAAGACTCTTGTTGACCCTGCCACTTGTTCACCAGTGGTTATGTCTGTCATTTTGTCTAGTTTCACAAAACCAGAGCATCAGGCAAAGTCTGTGCTTTGATGGGAGGCTGCCAGGGAGCACTTACAGTAGCTATTGTGGCAAGTGACGCCAGAGACACCAGAAGTGGCTCTCCTCTTTCTGAGCAGTGTTAGAGAATATTGTGCTGTTAGATAGCTTTGTTTCGGGGGAGGAGGCAGGGACAGAGATGCTGACTGCTTGTCCTTGTTAGTGCCTACTTGAAATTTATTAACCCTTGAGCCTTCAGCAAGTTCTGGATAGGTTAATGGCATTTTTGGCCTGCTGTCAGTTCCATTTCTGTCAGCTTCTTCCCCTCTGAAACAGTGGGGTCATGTTGCTGCACACCTCAGAATTTGCAGGTTTTAAACATAAAAATCTCCTTGTGATATTGAGAAAGGCTCAGTTTTATTGGCAAAGATGACTTAATAGAAGAATGCCCCATTCTTTGTGTGTGGGTGGGCACCAAAGACCATCCTGTATCACTCCTACCCTCGTCACTGTCTGCTAATGCCTAATAACTACCTGGTGATTTCACTGCCCCTATTTATCCTCATTTTTGTCCAAAAAAAGACTAAGGAAAGCAAGGAAGATGTTTGTTTGGAACATGCACATCTTCTGGCTGTGAGATACCTAACACCTGCTTTGGCCAAACAGCTCTGGAAGGTTGGTGTTTGTTTTACCACCAGCTGAAAAGTAGGCAGTCCCAGGAGTACCTCTAGGCCATATCTGGGCTCTCACCTGCATGTGTGTCTACAGGCTTCATTATTTATTTGGCAAGTGCTTGAAATGAAAGGTTGTGCATGATTATAAGGGAAAAAAAGAGTTGAAAGAATGATGTGAAGCCTTAGCTTTAAGGAGCTTTAAGCACTCACAGATAAACATAAACATCACTACCCTTGTTTTATTATGTGTTTCTTTACAGCACTGTCAGTACTGGTTGATGTGGAACTTGATAGGGAATTGCACAGCAGTTCCCATTCCCTTCCTGAAATAGTGGATGTTCTTTAATGGAACATGATATTATTCAGGACATGATGTTTTTCCAGTTTTTGTAAAGAGGCAGTAGTGGCTGCAGTTAGACTGGATGAAGGAGAAGGAAATAAAGAGCATGCACATCCTTTCCTGTAAAAGCAATGGGGTCAGGGCTACATTTTCATTCATTTTTACTTCTTTAAATCTCATATCTATTAAACCATTGACAGCTGTTGATTTGTGACCTGTTAAAGCTTTTCATAGCTATTTGAAATTGCTTCTTAGAGCAAAGATTCTGGATTAGAGAACACGCGGGTGTCTGACAGTTGCTGTCACCAGGGAGGGAGTTGGGCTGTATGAAACTGGAAAGCTTTGGCATCCAGCATGCTCCAGCGTTTTCCATTTGAAAATCTGGCCCACAACAGAGTGCTGAGGTGTTCTGAAAATCTGTCTCTAATGTAAACATCTGTCTGTCTTGGTTTTTCCTAGGTGATCAAGCACGTACCTTTTTTTTGCAATCAGGCCTACCAGCTTCAATCCTTGCTGAAATATGGTAAAGTATTCTTTACTATAGAACATGTGCAACGTTGAAGTACTACCTGTAGTATCTTGTGTTGTTTCAAAGAGGCTTTCAGCTGTCAAAGTAGGGGTGTTGTCCAAGTAATTTTAATTTTATTGAATTTAGAATAATAGAAGAAAATCATAGAATCGTTTAGGCTGGAAAAGACATTTAAGATCATCACATCCAACTGTGAACCCAACTCTACCAAGTGCACTGCTAAACCATGTCCCTAAGCACCTTTGAGGAAGGATTGAGCCCATATATGTACCCACACTAAGTTAATAAGCAAAATGTTTTAAAAATCTTTCATGATGTTAATTCAAATTGAATCATAATGAACACATCTTTCTTAAACTATAGTAAGTACTTGAAACAAAAAATGATGTAAATTAAAAGGCTTCCACAGAGGGAAGTGCCTGTTGGACTGCCAGAAAGGTCATTGTTAAGACTTGTCTTTATATTCTAAATGTTCTATTTTTTCCTCTTTATTATTTGAAGTAATAATATGTAAAAAGAGGTAAATAATGGATTAATGAATTGCTGGATTGGATTCAGTATTCAATCAACAAATTCAATACCAAATCGAATGATGTTTGAAATATTGGTAACCACAAAAATGGCAATAAGATTAAGTGTGTGGGGGAAAAAAAATATATGCTACTGAACTGGGAGTGGAAAATACACTGAAAGGAGAAGACAAAAAAATCTAAAGCCAAAGAAAATGTTACTAGAAGATCAGTTGTAAGATACCAACCAATTCTGTAATGCAGGAACTGGAAAAAGTGCTGTTTGCAACATATAAGTGGTTATTGCAACACTTGGAACAGATGTTTTCTTCATTGGAACTCCTCTGTCTTCACTAGAATACTGTGTTGCTTTTGGGGTACTTGCTTGTTACCAAGATGCTAAAAGACATGGAGTGAAGGTTTGCCATAACTGAGAACAACTCACTTGTGAAAAAATATTAAAAAAACTAAATGAAAAAAAATAGTTTATTTTTCAGATGCTTCATGTGCCTAGAAGAGAATGATAAGGAAACTTCTGCACAGAAAAACTTTTGCATTTGGGTTTTATACTGAATAAGAACAGAATGAAAGGGAAAATGTAGCTTAATATTGAGTGTGTGTTTTTTTTCTTTCTCCTAATTTTATTTACATTCCTGTGCCTGGTCCTTGCATGTTTAAGTCTGAATAAGATTTTGTATTTTCTGTCTGACCAGGAATTTTGCCTGTGTATGTGCATTGTTGCATGTGGTTCATGTTGTATTTAAGTTTATTTGGGAAAGTGTCAGAGGAACAGAGTTTGGATATCAAGCTTAAAAAAGCCCCACTTTTTGTGAATTAATGGAGTTTTCATGGTGGTACTTAGTGCCTCTAGCAGGTTGCTGTATATATCCTGTTTCAGATTCTTGCATTAATTCCTCACATTGCTACACTGATTTAAAGTAGTTAGTCTGGCTAGTAGTGTAGAAAAAAGCAGAGCAGAGGCATGCAGCAGAGGCAACAAGTGTATCTACTGAGCAGGGGACGACTGGTTTTTCTAGATTCTTCCTACTTTTTCAATTGTAAAGTATTTGATATGCAGCAACTTTAAAACTGACCTGTGTGACTACCAAGTGGATAGTGAAACTTCTCAAACTTCTGAGGGCTTGAATGTTGTCAAAAGCAGCAAATCTACAAGTGATTTCAATACGTTTCTTGTACAAAGCCAGTAAATAAACATGATTGAGATTTATCATTAAATGTGAATTAATTCAATTTAAAAATTAAATTTACATTGCTTCTTTGTAGCCTTTACTAATTTTGTTTTATTTTGTTTTTAAGGACGCTATCAGACCTGAACAAGGATGGAAAAATGGATCAACTGGAGTTCTCTATAGCCATGAAACTCATCAAGTTGAAATTGCAAGGGCAGAATTTGCCAGCAGTTCTCCCTCCTGTCATGAAACAAACTCCAGTATTTTCACCACTGATGTCAGCTCGCTTTGGTACTTATGAATATATAATTCCTTAATGTTCAGAGGTGAAAAAAAACACAGTTAATCCCAGCCAAATGCAAACATTAATTGGACCACAGCATTTGAGAGAAAACCCAAGGATCTTTTGATTTATGAAATTCACAAAGTCATTTTATATCATTTTATTCTTCGAAGACATTTAATATTGAAGGAAAACACTGTTGAATGTTGACATGAGGTGCAAGGAGGCCCTTCACATCTGCCATCTGACCTGCAGACTGTCATCTTGTACTGCTGGTCCTTTTTTGTCATCTTCCTACTCGTTCACCTATTTATATTTGGGCTTTTAAAAGTTATCCGTAAAGGTCAAAGTTTTGGTGGAAGACTTAATTTAAATATTTTTTTCAGAATTAATCAGATTGTCTATTTTGGTTATGTGATCAATTTAGTAGAATTATTTTAACTTTTTTGTTTCTTTTCTGAATATATTTTGGGATTCAGTGCATGCCTGTTGCCATTTTGTTGTTCTGTAGAACAAAATCTCTGTAACGGCTTCGGCTGGATTACAAAACTAGTGTATACATCTATGCTGAAATTAAATGTATGCATATATTAATTACATACATGATTTTAAAATGTCTGCCCATTGCTAAATCTTGTAAGTATGTTTGCATACAAATGTATGCACTTACAGACAGCCGTGGTTGGCATACAGTGACTTCCTAGTAACCTTCCATCACCTCATCTGCTTGCTGTTGTCTTCCACAAGATTCAGCCAGTAATTCAAGTGCCCACATTTGCTTCAGGCAACTGCCTTAAAAAAACCATTTGCTAGGCATGGGTCCTGAAGAATGGACTTTTCACCCATATGGATACTTCCAAGGCTGATGCCTGGAAGATGCTTAGTTCTAAAACAGTGTCAGCCCTTCCCTGTAGAGGATTGTCACGACTTCTGAGTTGTGTTTTAATTTCTCCCTCAGAGGCCAGACAGAGAAAGGCTTGTTGAAGAGCTAGTTATAGCTGCAGTTACCTCTCTTGCCTAACTTTAGAGAAAAAGTAAACATACATGAGCTTCTATTTTAACTCATTATAATATTTCCAGATGCAGGTTGTTTTGTGTAGTTTCTCCCTAGCACAATGGACCCAGTTTCTTGCTGAAGCTTCTGCAATATTTAATCATGACTTGTTGGATTTTGCTCTAGGAATGGGTAGTATGCCAAATCTGTCCATGCCAACGTCTGTGTCTACGATCACACCATTAGCTCCCATGTCTCTGACCTCCATGACTTCCATTCCTCCTTTGGTTCTCTCTACTCCCCTGGTGCCTTCTGTCAGTACCTCCTCGTTGCCAAATGGAACATCCAGCCTTCTGCAGCCTTTGTCCATACCTTTCTCTTCAAGTAAGTATAGTCCAGTCCAGTGCTCACTTTTAGAATTGTGAAGCTTATCTTCTCTGTGGCTAATTTCAGACAAGAATGGTAATACTTGCATGCAAATTAAAAAAAAAAATCAAATGAAACAACAGCTGTATTTTTCCCAAAGTTCACATTTGTCAGATTAGTTCTATCTAGCTGATCTTAACAAGGCACTGATGAGCTTTTTTACTTCTGTCAAAGCCTTGAGTGTTTATTAGAAAGCATTACCTTGTACCTGGTTGCTTTACCAATTTTTGGGTTTTGTTTGTTTGTTGCAGCACTGCCTCATACTGGTTCTCTAGGTCCCATGGCAGGAGGGTTTGGTGGTACTAGTATCCAGAAGGCACAGTCACTCATCGATTTAGGATCTAGCAGGTATGAAAGTTAAGTTTAAAATGGCCATATCTTGAGCAGTATGCCTTCCAAAACTTCCATTTCCTAGTATGACCTACAAAGTCTGAAAATAAGATTGTTTTGACACGTACAATAAGTAATATTTTCAGTAACTCTGACAAAGCTATCTGAAGTAGGTGAGGAGTTCAGCTCTCTAGTGGTGCCCAGAAGAAGGGAATGTACCTCATTAGTAAACAGCAGCAGAACTCAGCCAGTGGTTATAAAAGCAGTATGGATTGCTGCCTTCATTCAATATAGAGGGCACCATGTAATTAGCAGGCATGTAAGGATAGTATTTGATATAAATATTTATGTGTGAATTTGTTTGATGAATAATAGAAGATGATGAGTATTGGATTGCTGTGCTCATTCAATATAGAGGGCACCGTGTAATTAGCAGATAGTATTTGATATAAATATTTATGTGTGAATTTGTTTGATGAATAATAGAAGATGATGAGTATTTGTAATCAGCTGCTCTGTTTCACCGGGTTCAGAACTTTGCCATAGAGTGAGGAACCATGCTTCCCTCTCCAGTTGGCCACCCAGGGACCAGTCTCCTAGGAGATAGTCCAGAGGGCAGCTCAGCCCCAGCCCAGGTCCAGAAGTGCCTCAGAAGTGCTTGCAAGTCTTTTGCTGCTGATACAAAGCATCTAGGATGAGGGTACCTCTCACTTTGAGCTCCTCATACAGGCAGACACCTGATGTTACCAGATGTTCAATAAAGTGATTGTAGGCATGATGTGTGCCTGTAATTTATATTTTTTTTTAATTTGGAAGGCTATTTTCTGCTGGTGTTGTAGGGGTTTCAAAGTAGCTCTTCAGTGTTACTGTTGACAGCATTTTCACCCTGGTGGTATCCAGTTCCATGCAAAGGATGACTCTCCAGCATTGTGCCAGAAGGGCTAGAGTAAGCATTCTTAAAATAGAGTAAGCATTCTTAAAATAGATTAAGCATTCTTTACTCTATTGCCTTGGATAACACTGCAAATAGTTTTTTTTACTCGACAGAGTAGGGGATTACCTTAAACAAAGCAAGTTGGATTTTGGCTGACCATCAAAGATGGGACACTTTGAAAAGGCTGGGAGTTGTAGCTGGAAGTTTTATGGGTATAAATGAACACTCCATTAGGTGCTGTTCTGCAGAAACCATATGGGTTGTTAAAAAATCCAGTCATTGTCACTAATAAAAAGAGCAGGTGGAGGTGGAATGTCATGGCTTTAACAGCTTTGGGTGCTGCTGTTGGTTGCAAGTGTATCAGGTAAATTTTTATGGTTATTCATTTGCATACCTCTTAAATTTACTTAGATATCCACCCAGTGCTTCACAGCCCTTGTAAACATTCTTGTGAAAGTTGAATGTTTTCCTTTGGTTTCCTGTAGTATTACTTTTCAGTGGTGGCCTGATGAATTATGTGACGTAAGTGCCTGTGATCCTAAGGGAACAGGACCTTGGATTCAAGAGTTCCTTTTTAGATATATGTCCCTACTTTCACAGTAAACTTCCAGATTAGTCATGAAAATATTTATAGCAAGTTAGCAGAGGTAAAACTTTGTGGAAGTTGGTTCATGTTACTAGATGATGTTATATGTTCTGTTCCAATGCCTGTTTATTAAGCCAAGTAACATAGAGATCTTTTTCTCTCCTTTTTTTTTTTCAGTTCAAATTCTTCCTCTAGTGCTTCACTAACTGGGAATTCACCAAAGATTGCATCCTCTGACTGGGCAGTTCCTCAGGCCTCCAGATTAAAATACAGGCAGAAATTTAACAGTCTTGATAAAAGTATGAGTGGATATTTATCAGGTGAGTATGACCTTTGATAGAGGGGGGCGGGGAGGAACTGGAACCATTGATGTTCAGACCTCTGCAGGAGCAAGTGGGTTTCAGCTACTGGTTCCAGTCAGCCAAGGAATGGAAATAGCCTTCAGTTTAGTAGCTTGGGCTTTGTGTTAGACCTGGAGGGGCCTGAGGAGGCAGCAGTCTCCCCAGGTAGACTGGAGAAGCTACTGCAGCAGTTGAGGGGATGAAAAGAGTGGCAGTGGGGAGATCTTACTGGAAGTGACTGAGAACCCTAAGGCTGGAGAAGTTAGCTCCACAAAGTCAGCAATCATTCAAGCATCACTGAGACTCTTCCTTAGGACTTTGCAAAGCTGGGGACATCTCACAGTCGTTTCTGTGCCATATGCTCCTATGTGTGTGTATCAGTAATTGCTTGGCCATTTAGACTTTTCAAAGAAGGTGGTCCAGGAAAGACACTTCAGTACTGCAGCCATTGATTGGAATTTTTAAAAAATAATTTAAGGGAGTTATTCCTTGTTGACTTGCAGTGACATCTGTGCTGTGGCATTATGGTGGTTTCAAAAGACTTCACACAAAGTTAATACAAGAGTAGAGTTTTATGAAAATCCTTAGCAAACTGGATTACCTGGTGTAGTGCAGTGAGGAGAGTGCTGGCCAAGCAGTTAGTAGAAGTGAAGTCAGTTTGTATGTCTGCAGCTGACTGGATTTCCCATTTTGAATAAGCTCTTAGCAAGACTCTGCCTCAACTTCCTAGCCTACGAAAAAGGACAATTCTTTCTTTCAAGAAAGAGACTCAGTGCTTTTTATCTTGGTAGTTGTTTTCAGATGAAGGTTTCATCAACCTACCTAGAAAGGTATATGGTTCTTTGCTACAAAAGGAAAGCTGACAGCTTTCCAGTGTGCTCACTCAGGCTTTAGGTAGATAGTTCTGCTTCTGTAGCAGACGTGGGAATTACCATAAATATCTATTTTTCATGTCAGCTTTTCTGTTAGGTGCTCTGAGTGGAAAAAAAAAGTACACAAGAACACTTACATCTTTATTGTGTTCAGGTCATAATGCCTGTTGTTAAGCCTGGAAGTAAAGCCAACTGTCAGCCACTGCTGAAAATGGATTAGATTAATATTAAAAAAAAAAACATGCCCCACTTCATGACCCACTTTTTGCTACATGTCAATCTTTGTTCAAAGTGTTTATGAAAATCTTTTTCACTAAGGATTTCAAGCAAGGAATGCCCTTCTGCAGTCAAACCTTTCACAGACTCAGCTGGCTACTATTTGGTAAGTTTAGTTACTGATTATGAATGCAGTGTGTTTATGGTGTTAAGAGGGGAAAGTTACTTCATTTAATAAGCAGTGATAAAGGGACACCATAGATCTAAAATAATCATAAACTGAAACTAAGCTACTTAAACTAATTTGCTCATCAGTTACATTTTCTAGACACCTTGACATAATACAGTTTTTTCACTGTTTGTTAAACTCCATATAATAGTACAGATACTAATTTCAGATTCTGATTCTGTGATGCATTAGTTTAGTGGAGATAAAGATTTGTTCATTTTAAAAGTAAGATTCTGAAATCAAGCTTGTTAGTTTTGAAATATGGAGAAAGATTAAAAATAAAGTAACCCTTCAGCATTTTAAAGTTTTACTGCAGTTCCCCTAAAGATACCTGCATATTACACATTTGTTAAGACTTTGCTTTACTGTGGTGATGGAAATGGTTACAGTTGTCTGAAGTCTTGAATAATCTGCCCTGCTCAACATGGTAGGTTGGATTATGCCCCCAGACATAACTCAGATATTATCCATAAAATTTACTGGCACAGCAGAATTCAGAATAGCTTGGTGCTTTACATCTCTTTCTGAGCTCCCTTTATTCTTTCTCTTTATCCTAGGGCAGTCATTTGTCTGTCTTTAGCAGCAGCAAGCTGAAATATTCTGTATATTCATTCAGCTTGTTTGGTTGCATGCTATGAAGGTAGAAATGAATGTATAGTGACCATTTTCCTCCTGATACTGAGCATATGAGTAGCCAGTGTGAGGAAGTCTGTGTACCCATTTAAAGGGCATTAACAACCCAATTTGTAGTTTGGCCCAGAGTAAGGAATTACCAATATTCCCACTTGGGTGCTGTTTTCATGGTAGTTACTGTACTGATGGTACTGTTACATGCTTGTTAGTGTTACACTGCATGTTAGTGCTGGTCTGTGAATATAATAAGAATCTCATTTCATCACCTCCTGCTTTTGTTTTTCACTGTGGGGTGTTTGGGTGATTTATTTTTTGTTAGTTTTGTTGTTTCCTTTTTAGTTTAGTAGTTTGTTTTGTTTTGTTTTGTTTTTCTTTTAACAAGCAGTTATTTTATTAAGCATTTCACTTAAGTGCATTCTAAGGACACATTCCTGCAACTGTATCTATATGGAAAGTTCTTAGAGAAAGGTTCCTGCTTTCTTGTCTGCATCTCTGTAAATGTTTTGCTGGTTTCACACACACACTGTACCACAAGGCACTCTGAGGCAGCTCATATCTTCCCTGCACTGTCAAGGAGACACAAGGGGATAAAAGAATTCTATGCAAAGGTTCCTGTTGTAGAACTTGATGTTATTTTATATAATGTTTTCTTTTGCATTTGTAATATTTTCAGCTCATTTTCTTAAGAAATCAATGACACGTTAGGCTGTGTAAGTCCTGTTTGTTTCAACTCCTCATGTTATTAATTGTAATTATTTTTACTTTCAGAGACATTTTCTGTTTTCAAAATAATTTTTATAGTAAATTGTTTCAGCTGTCATTTGTGGGGGATTGTGACGTGGGGTTCTAATTATTGCTGATGAAAACCTTGCAGGTCACTGGCTGATATTGATGGAGATGGGCAACTGAAAGCTGATGAGTTTGTGTTAGCCATGCACTTAACTGATATGGCCAAAGCTGGACAACCTCTGCCCCTAACTCTGCCTCGTGAGCTGGTACCACCTTCTTTCAGGTATATCACTGAAGGCAATGAAGCATAATATATTTTCAGTGGAAGTTTTTTATACAAAGAAAATAACTGTGTTATTTCTCTAACAATGATGGGGTTTTTTTCCATCCAGGAGTGGAAAATATACTGAAAACATAAATGGAACTCTGCCATCTTATCAGCCGGTGCAAGAGGAGGAGCCACAAAAAAAACAGCCAGGTAAAAATATGGTTCACCTTCTTAATGTACCTGGCTGTCTTTGTTTCAGTACATGGCACTGAAACCTTTAGAAGGTAGAAGACATAATCAGATCCCTGGGGAGCTTCATTTCAGGAGGTAGATACCTTTTAACTTGGATGGTAGGGAGGTTCTTAAGTGGATGTAGTCAGCCTATTACATCTTAATAGAACTGAGAAGGCAGAGGTGGGGGCTACTTTTAGCTGTAGGAAAGGGAAAGTGTGCTGATTAATAATGCATTTTGGAAAATAAATCCTTCATGGCCAAATACTGCCATGCTACTGCAATTTTTTTTGCAGTTGAAATTTCCTGGCATTACTTTGTTCTGGACATTTTGAAAGCAAGGGATTCTGATGTGGCTTAAACCCCCTGAAAGGTAGATGTGATTTGCACACATCATAGATCGTTGTGTTTGACTCCCTGATGCAAAACTATCTTATGTGTACACTGTGAAACATGACTTGCCTCCCTTTTTGGAAGGGTGGTTGCTAGGACCCTAAATTATTCCTTTGCATCTCTTTTTATCCTGTACTGCAGTAGCTGAGCTTGATCCTGTTTTGTTTTCTGCTTTTTTAACACCAGGAGCTCTTACAGGGAACACCCTTAAAAACTAAGCTCTTTCTCTGGGTATTAGTTTCTTGCATGGTGGAAACCCTTTCTGACAGAAGATACTCTTCTCCTAGCTTATAAAAGCTGTTCTTTAATGTTTTCTCTAAAATTCAAGTTGTTTTTGCGGTCAGTCTTAAACTACTTTTTCTTTTTTTTTTTTGGCAGTTGGAATAGACTTAGGAAAATCTAAAGGTATTTTTAAAAAGAAAAATAATACTTTAACAAATGCAAGCTGCTTATATCATCTGTGACCCAACGCCCTGAGCTTGCCAAAAGAAATGATCTATCTGTAGTGGCATAACCGAGGTTCTTGTTTTGAGAGCAGTGTTCTGCACAGGACAAAAATAACTGCCTTTCATTTTTCTTTTTTTTTATAGTGACATTTGAAGACAAAAGGAAAGCCAACTATGAGAGGGGAAATATGGAGCTGGAAAAACGCCGTCAGGTCCTGTTGGAGCAGCAGCAGAGAGAGGCCGAACGTAAGGCTCAGAAAGAGCGAGAAGAGCGAGAGCGAAGAGAGAGGGAGCGGCAGGAGCAGGAGCGGAAAAAGCAGCTGGAAGTAGAGAGGCAGCTGGAGAGACAACGAGAGTTGGAAAGACAAAGGGAAGAAGAAAGGAGGAAAGAAATAGAAAGGCGGGAGGTTGTTTTCTTGTCATTCTTTTTTAAAGCTTTGAGTAGGTAGCTGCATGCAGTGTCCACTTCCCAGAGCGTCCGGGATTTCATGCTGCCTTTGGTTCTGTCTCCTCACGTGGCCATTGGCAGGTTTTCTGTTAGGTTTTCTATAGAACAGACATTGTGTCTATTATAAGTTAATTACGTGTTGGTATAGGTTGAAGATTTTCAGATACTTAATAGGACAGTGAGATTTTTCTTGGATTTGTGCAGAATTACATATACTAAGCAGAATTCTACTGGATTCATAACTGATAGTATTTTGACAGCTGAACCTGAGACAGATTTGTTTCTATTTGGTGTCTTAGTGCATGCAAAGGACTTTCATATTTCATGGAGTTTTGTGAAATACCTAGAGGAGGTTATGAGCAAGAGCTGTCAGTGTGCTCATTTATAGGCAATATTCCAAGCTATGCAGGTTTTATGTCTGAATTATGTGGCTTTTCTTCATCCAGAGTTAGCAGCATGGCTTGAAGAATCTTATAGGATTACTCCCTCCATTCTTTGATGCTGAAGTATGTAAGAACACTTTACAAGAGACAACGCGTTGTGTTGCTGTTGTGCTTTTTAGAAGTGGAGCACATTATATTAAATCACAGTCTCTGAGCTCTGCATCTCTGTAGTAAGTTAAGGGAATGTAACTTGTTCTGCAGGCAGCAAAACAAGAGCTGGAGCGCCAGCGACGACTGGAGTGGGAGAGGATTCGTCGCCAGGAACTTCTCAATCAGCGTAACAGGGAACAAGAAGAAATTGTCAAGTTGACCTCTAAAAAGAAGAGCCTTAATCTTGAATTGGAAGCCCTGGTAAGAGAAATTTCACTACACATCTCGAAATAAAGCGTGCAAATCTTAGAAGAAATTAGTGGCCCACTAGGAGTTTCACTGTTTCAGATGAGGAATCTAAAGCAGGTATTTTGGGTTGTTGTTAAAGCATTGATCATGAATTAATCTACCTACAGATTTAGTGGAGAAGTGATTTGTGCTGTACGTGGTATAATTTGTCTTTGCTTCCTTTCTAGACGGACAAACATCAGCAAATCTCAGGCAGATTGCAGGATATTCGAAGCAAAAAACAAATGAGGAAAACTGAACTGGAGGCTTTAGATAAGAAATACGACCAAGGAATCATGGAAGTCAAGCAGCTACAACAAGAGCTTCAGGTGTTTAACTTTCTGTTGAGCTGGTAGTTTTCATTTCCTTCCTGTTCTGTGATTCTGTAATATTGTTGATAATCTCCATGGGGAGGAATAGTGAATCAGTTTGATTATAGTGGAGAGAGGAAATTGGTAAGGCCATCAACACTGCAGAGGCTCTTAGTTTTATTTGTGGTGTTAACAAAATCATTGTATGAACTACAACAAGGTGAGAACTGGATGAGGGCAGTTGTCAAAATCTGAGCTGTTCTTTTGTGAATTAATATTAGAGACTTCTCTTTAATTATGAATCCTTTTTTGTCTTTAGGCTCAAAATTTTGGGGAATAATGAGGGCAGTTGTCAAAATCTGAGGTGTTCTTTTGTGAATTAATAATAGAGATTTCTCTTTAATTATGAATCTTTTTGTGTCTTTAGGCTCAAAATTTTGGGGAATGTTTTTTGGGAGCAAGGTGGTCTTTTGGTTGAGTTACCTTGCTGCTCTTTTACTTTTTTTCTCTCTTTGAATAGCAAGACATGAATGAATTCAAATCAGTTGACTGCTATAAATCGTCCTCTACTGTATTTTTATGTAATGAACCTTCATGTCAGGAGAGGTTTTCATGTTTCTGTGTGTCAGGGAAAATTACTGGTTTATGATAGGCTCGGGGCAATCAACTTAAATGTTCTCATGACAATATTTACACTTTTAGCACGTGTGTTATATTTTTTTCCCAGCTGTGTTAATGTTTTTGGGTCAAAAAGCATTTGGTTTTAATAGTATTTATATGGAGAGCATAGAAGTAATTTTTCATTTCATTACAATAAATTATGTTTGAAAATTTACCTATTTTTACATACCAATTTATAAACAATATTAAAAATGTGTTGTGTTCTCTTCAATATCTACAGGAGTATCAGAATAAACTCATCTATTTAGTTCCTGAAAAGCAGTTGTTAAGTGAAAGAATTAAAAACTCTCAACTTGAAAACACTCAGAGTAAGTGTCTGTAAATGAGTTCTCTTCTGTTTGCATTGCTGGCTTTTCATCACTGTTAAAAAAGGCTGAAGGCTGCAGAGTTGTTGATCACACCTTCACTTTTATCTCTCTTCAGTTAGTGACATCTTAGCATTATTTCATCTGCATTTCATTATTTTATCCATCTTCTAAATAAAGGGCAGACAAAACAT